TGTGAAGATAAAGACCCGCATGCTTCATGATAATTTCGTTTGTCATTCGATGCACGGTTAGGTTTTCGTCAATTTTATTGCGAGGAATGCAATTCAAAGTAGTATAATTTCGAAAAATTATAAATGTAAAGAATCATATAAAGAATATTAAAATATTGAGATTTTATAATTTTATAAAATTTTCATAATTATATTTACTTAAATATTACATTAATAAGATTATATTATATAAATATATTCTTCTTGTAAATAAAACTATATTTTTATCGAATTTTAATTTAAACTTGATAATTTGATGTTTAATATCTAAAATATTTAATCTTTAATATTTAATTTAATTTAAGATTTTTATAATTTTAGCATATTTAATTTTTTTTAGATATTTAATTCGGAGAGTGTGACACGCAAAAGTAATTATAATTTCTTTATTATATTGAAATTTAGTTTTGGAAAAGAGAAAAGTGAAAGCAGAAACATAAAAAATACAAATAACTAAAAAATCCTGGGCTAATTTATCACGGATATATCTTGAAATATATTGGAATCTTTAAGCATTATACCAATATATGTTTATGTATAAATCTTTTTACTTGAACTTCTTGAAAATCAAAGTGAAAGTTCTTTGTGTATGTGATTAATGTGTTTTCTCTGTATTATATTTTGATTACCAAAGGGAAAGAAGAAGTTTTATAAAGATATATTTTTAAATCAGTTTATTTATTACAAGTCTGTGGTTTGTGATACGAATTTCTTACTGCAAAAAATTGAATTCATTAAAGCATAATATACTTAAAATAAAATACATTTTTGCTTTGAAGATTTGATAATGAATAGAAATCAATTTACTATTATGACAAAATAAATAAAAATAGGAAATAAAGAAAAAGATAAAATTTAGTTACATTATTATTTTACTTTTCCTAAAACAATTATTATAACAGAATATTATGAGAAAAAAAAGACATTCCTGTATATTTGAAAGTCGTCATTTTCCACGTAAACGTCAGTTTCCAAATTGCGAAAGTGTATCTTATCTTTTAATTTTCTATGATTTATGGGAAGATTTTCGAAAATTTACGATCGTTTACACAATTATAGAATGTCAAACATTTAATATTGAATGTCAAGATATTTATATGCATGTCAAGATATCTATAACTTGTTGTTTCACTCTGCAACTATTATCACTGCATTTGTACTTAATTATTATAGCTATTGTTGTTGTAAAAACTGCTTTTTCATGTCGATACATTCATATCAGAGGATAGTTGTGATAATATATACTTATATATACTTATTATAACATTAATACATTAAAAATTTTGCAATTATTAGTTACTTAATATATTAAAATTATCACATACCATTTCTTTTGTGTCCAATCTCGTTATAGATTTTTTATAGATTTTTTAATAGAAGCATTCTTTATAGAAATATTCTTAGGCCTGAAACAACATAAAAGATGACCTCACGATGATCTCACCCAAAAATATTGGATTTTCTAGTGGTATCGAGCAGAGTCTATCTTCTCTATGATTTAAGTTTAGAATAGATGAGATTTTAGATTAGATACAATTTCTAGTTTGCATTTATCTGTGGTACGTGGTGGTGAGAATACTTCACAAACAAATCATAGTGAGTCAGAGTATTTTGTATTCTTTTATGATTATTATGAAAATGTATTTATACTAGGCTGTTGTAATCATAAGCGATTTTTTGTTACAACAAGCTAATATACCAGCTGATAATCGTAGATGTTCGTGCTGATACAGTGTCTGTTTGTATTAAAATATTATCAACGGATAACTTGTATTTTGGCTGAAGAAGACTTCAGGAAAAGATGATACGTTCCATCTGTAAAAAATAAAGACCGATTAAATATAGATATTATAAATGTCTATATTTAGTCCGTCATTATTTTTTTAAAAAAACGAGCCAATTTTTATTTTATATACTTAATTAATTTTAATTTCGATAAGTTTAATAATAATTAAATTTCATACTATAAAACAAATAGAAAATACAGAGTACTTAAAACGTATTCTTATTATACAAAGATCTAGGTTTCATATATCACTAAGAAAATATTTGATAAAATTCCCCATATTTTAAGGATATCGAAAAGAAAATAAAGTTGACCTGAAGTTGAGTGTCTAATATGCTATAGATGCACAGCATGCTTATATAAGCATATCTATATGCTTACATAGATTTGTATATGCAAAATAGTTGCGATATTTATTTCAATTTCGAAAAGAATAGAGTTTCCATAAAAATTGTGTAGATCATAAAAATTTGGTAAGCTTTATGAAAATTATGAATCATTTGAAACATATATTGAAATATCCAATGAAATTTCTGGAATCTAGGATCTAAGTCCAGATTTCAGAGCCCCCCAACTTTGGAAACTTTGAAAAAAATAGAAGCTTGACAGAATGGAAAGATTCGATACGACACACCGGAACTGCACGTTCTTTAATCGTCTTGGACTTAATTCGTCTTTGTAAGGCAGCCGTAGGCTTATGAGGCTCCCAGGTGAGGAAGCGAAGAAAGGGGATTTGCGGAGGCAGGGTCGTGATGACGAGAGGCCAACATGGTGCGCAGTGAAGTGAAGTCACTACTGGTGGCGGGAGTTGGAAGACGTAGTGGGAGGCGACCAGACCGACCCGTTATATTATCTTGCGTTAGTCAGTTAGTCAGTTTTCTTTCGTGCCAGTGATCTCGTGGTGATCCTGTGATTCGACGACGACAAGAATTCCATCGTGAAAAAGCATTTTCTGGCACCGAATTTTACGTCCTCGACCTCACCTGTATCGCTGTATCGTCGAGCAAGTCCGGGGAAGAAAGATTTGGATCAAGAAATGAATAATATCGTAGTTTCAAAGTGATCCACGTGCAAAGCGAAGTGAAGTAGAGTGATATAGAAAGCCGCCTGAAAATTATAATTGGAGCTCTGGAAATCACGATTAATCGATCGGTGACCTTTGACACAGTTCGAAGGCAATTTGGACCCTTACGTTGCTGAAGATCCGTGGATCAGTCACCGAGATCGATCGCGAGGTCGACAAACTCGCGAAGACAATTACTTACGTCGCGAGGAACCTCGATCAGCTAATTAATCGTACCGTCGCGTAATCTTTCCGGGATGTTTTACCGCGATCGACGGCGATAGCTGCAGTGAAAGTAAACCTCACGTCTCGATTCACTCGTAGCGTGATTAGCGCTTCAGTGCCTACGTATCCAGCCGAGTGACCTGTTATCATTATCGTGAAAGTGATCCTGATTTGCCTTCCACTCTTGAGACTCCCTCCCTCATCGTGTTGCATAGAGCTTTTAATAAGTGATAACACTGTGAAACGCACTCTTCGCATCTCTTTTCTTTGGGAATTCGCTCTTTAACTTTTTCCTGTCCGTTCTTTATCTTTCGTTATTTTCCTTTTCCTCACTGCGAAGATTGAAGATTCTTTCGCAGCTGGACGTCGACGATTGAGACACTTCAAGGACTCGCATCCAACGAAAATGACCGTGGTAATAAATGATAAATGTTGCAATTTAAAATGAGGATTTTTTACAGCTCATGTAGCATTTTGCACGTTCAGTTTTGAGTTTCATTCTTCTCATGTGAGGATTGCGTATGATGAAAAATGCTGACATGATTGCACATGTTGGAAATCAAAGCATCTATCGCATTTAATGCTAAATTGATTCGAATACTTATGAAACTTAACAAATACATTACATTAACAATATTAAATTCTGACGAATAATACTAAATTATAATTATTTCAGTTTAATAGCTTTTTTTTGTTGAAGATTAGAAAGTTAGAAGATTAGATGCTAAGATGAATCTGAGTTTTATGGTTTAATGTAAATAGTTTAAGGTAGTCGAGTTCTCTTCGTAGCCAGAAGCACACAAGCAGAAGTATACAAGTTCGTGTCTAAAAATAACTATCTTTTGTCTAAAGTTAAAAATTACATATAGAATATAATAATTTTAAAAAGAGATGATTGGAACTAAAGATAGAAATTGTACGCGATTTGAAGAAAATCTTTTAAATAATATAAAATTTTCAACAATTTTAAAGCAAATTTCTTTTCAATAAAAATTGAATCGTAAAATTATCATTATCTAATGCAAATTTATTTTTAAAAACTTAATATTGAATATTATTGTATATTAAATTTTATATATATAAAATTGTAGCTGAAATATATATCCTTTTACATTAAGAAGAGAGAAATATTTCATTATATTACACAATTTAATTATATCAAAAAATTCTGTTTTACCTTTATACAAATTCCATGAACTTTAAATTTTCATCATAAGTTGATTTCTCATTAATTAAAAAATATATCAGATAATTTCTACATATTATAATAGAAACATATGTATTATTATTTATTGGTTAAAAAAAGATCCGTTTAAATCGTCAAAAATTTAATCCGTCAAAAATGAGGGGGGGATTATACACGTGTATAGAAAAAATTAAATACTCAAAAGTTATAAACACGACAGCTAGAAAATTGAATTTCAATAATAAGAATTTCAAAATAAGATATTGTTAATAAAGATATTGTTTCTGGAAACGAATAGCGCAATCAATGTGTAACTTTGATAAGTAAAAGCTACGTGTCGAAAAGATTAAATATTCGTGAAGGTTATGCGGCAAAAGAGATAATCTGAATAAATGATAAAAAGTTTTAAACAATGATTCATTAACAGTTTCATTATCAGACAAATACATAATAGAAAATATAAGAAATTATAATTTACGAAAATATTCAAAAATATGCAATGTCATCATCATCCATAAATTAACAAATGATTTACATTCCAAAGTTTCTATGGAAGTTTCGTAAGACAAAAAAAATATATCGAAAATTTTTTGGGATAGTATGTGCGTTAACTTTATTAACATTTAATATCGCAGAGAAGATTTCCATATAAAAGTAATTATTTCGTAATATATAACGATAGTTTTCTTATATTATTTCAGGTTATGGAGAGAACAAATACTATCGTTACGTGGCCATCGAGACTGAAGATCGGAGCAAAGTCGAAGAAAGGTAAGCAATTGATGTAATCAATAAAAGCGATCTATTATTTGGAACTTGGAAAAAAAGATTTATAATAAAAACATTAACCTATTAAAATATCTTTTTTTTGTGTAAGAAAGATATATTATTTTGATTATTGGTAATGATTACAATAGGTATCAGATAACAAGAGAATATTTTTAGTTTTATTAATATTAGCGAATTTATCCGTGTTTTCTGATAAACAAATATTCGAGTGCAACGTTTCCTTCTAAAATAACCTCATTCATTTTAGTATTTGACTCGATAGCATTGTCATCGATAGCCTGACATCAACAAAATCCAGTGTTAACGCGAGTGCAAACGCACGCATAAAATATGATTAGACAATAATATCTTGTTTTTCATTTAATCCCGTAGTAAACATTTCAAGCGCATTGTACTTTTTAGCTGAAAATATAATTCAATTATTTCTAAAAATTATTAAACATCGCGCAAAAGAGAAGCGGTAATATGCTTCTAAGAAGGAGAAACGTTTGCCGAGACTCGATATTCAGATTCGAAATCCTAAAAATGTATATTACACGAATTCAGAGATAACTGCGTTTTTCTCGTGACAATCTTGAGGATCGCGCGAAGCGATGCGCAAAGCGGAAGCTATCGATAACTCGGGAGAGACGCGAAATTCAGATTTGGCATCGTATTAGACATCCCTGAAAGATTATACTTGTAGAAGACGTAAAAATCATCTTGCACGATCCTCCGCGCGTTCTTTAATTTTCAATTCCCCGCATTCAGAATCATGCGTAGTCGTGCGAATATGCGTTATTCGCAGATTGCGTCAACCGAGTGGTCGGTCGTGCCTCTTCGTCAGCTGACGTCTTGCGCATGTTGCTTTACGATCGCTATTTAAAGTTTCATCGCTGGCGCTGTATAATCGTGCGAAAAAAAAAAAAAAATGTGCATGCATTTGCAGGAAATTGTTGAAATCGATTTAATTGACGCTGAAATAAATTTCAAAATTTGCGGGAAATCTCGAAATAATTTTCGAAATAATTTTCGATTTTTAATTCAACGTTTCGAAATTTTTATAAAAATTCCAATCTTCTTTTCCTTATGGAATTTGAATAGGCATGAGGTATAATAAGGAAAGAATTAAAAGGGACAGTGATTTATGTTTCATCATGTTTCACTTCGGTCATGAAATATTCATTTGACACGTCGACTTTTTAATAAATTGCTAAAAATAATTACGACTCAGACGCTCAGAAATAAGAATTTCAAAAAGGTCGAAGAAATACAATACAAATTCGAGAATTTCGGACAGATACGATTGATTACTCATCTACACATTTTTACGCGATTGCGAGATTATTTCATCATTTGTCGACAGATAAAATGCATAAATCGATCTGTTGCTCGCACGCTCATTCGCTTGAAGCAACGTAACCTCATATGACACCGAACCTTGTGGAAATTTTTCGGTGATTCATCCCACCCTCGTGACCTAAACAGCTGTTGCATCTGCTTCTTTGCACTCTTTCTCTTTGTCTCTTTCTTTTCCTACATTTTACGAATCCGATCATGGATATTAGCTTAAAATATCTGATATAAATGAATTGTACGTATCTTTTGTTTTCTTGTTATGACTCCGGATTATCATTAGAATGTACGAGTTATCTCGATACGAACATATACACAAAAACAGAAATATATGTCCACAAAAACATGTTCTACAGATATGCATGATATGGATTATTGCGAACTATTCATTAAATCATTATAGTTATTAATAACAATTTTTTGAATGTAATCGCGGGAATATCACTTCGCTAAATTATATGGAAATTTATTTGTGGAATATTACTTGGATCTATTTAATGAGTTTCATATCAGATATATATGTATATATATATATATCAGATCATATTTATGCCTACTAATGCCTTTTTAAAACTACACACAGTGTTACAAAATTATTCAATATGTTCACATCCAACTTAATTTTACTTAATCTTTTTTTCAACACAGTCGCTTTATTTAATTACATTATTAGATATATATTTATATTTTTTGAATAAATTAGGCAATGAATGATAGCAATTTTTATGAATCATATATTACATGTAGAAAAATATATCGTAAAGTTCTTCTTGAATTATTACATTTCTTTATTAAGCTATGTTATAATAATTAACTTTAATTATAATCTAATTAATACGATTTTAATATCGAAAATAACAAAATACTAAAAAAAAAACTTGAATCAAATCAATTTATTGAAGTTGAAGTTTATCGAATAAAAATAATTTATTAAATTTGATCCACAAGTTTGATCGAATAACCTTTAATTAAAAGATTTAAATATTTTTACATGTTTTTATAATGTACTAAATATTTTTACACGTTATTATAATATATATTTTATACTTTCTTTTTACAAATTTATATATATTAATGCGCAATCTCGCGGTTTAAAAAAAAACAATCATGAATAACAATACTCTCTCATAGGTGAAATAGAATTTGCATTCGAGGCAACGAACGGATAGAGAAATAGACTCACATACATACGCTCTTCAGGGTTAATAGATATTATCGAGTTATCTTCCCCCATGTCGCGATAGGATATCACCTTGCGATTTGACCTGCTCTTCAAGCCGTCGTTGTGAATTTTGCGCAGCGAGATCAGCGGGATCTACTCTAGCCTAACCAGCCGGATAATTGTCCATGATCGAATTAAGCGTCAATCAGTATCATGCAGCCGTTCTAATTTTTCGCCGCGTGAAGATGTCGATGTGCTGCCAGTCACGTAAGCACATTGTTGTTTGAGCGATAAGAGATGTATACATGTAGTTTTTTTTCTCTTGAGAATGACTGTAACTATAACGGAAGAAATAATAACAGTCATTTAACCATTATAATTTGCGCCTGGATATTAGTATTTAGGGTGATAATCGCATTTCCTCTACATAAGATAGTAGTACAATCCATGAGCGTATAATCGCTGAAATTGAAAAACATACATTTTATGAAAAAAAAAAACATTGCAAAACTTGGATGAATTTAATTACAAACTAAATTTAAACGAAATTTAATTCAATTAAATTATACTAAAAATTTTTCCTCTGTTAAAGGAAACTTTATATCTGATAGTCAAAAATGAGAAATGAAAAGGATAAAAAAAAATGTAAAGTTTTTGTTTATTTCGAAATTGGATTTATAATTTCTCAATAAATTATCACTTTTCTGTTTGCTCATCACATCACATTTATACTTAGTCAACAGATATTGAACGATGCGTGTTTGCGAAATAAACAAGAAAATTCAAAAACCAGATATCGCGTGACTTCACAGTGTTGCTGTTTCATCAAATTATCTATCTTGTTTCATTACTGATCGAGACCGAGAAAATTTATAAGATTATCATAAGATTGCGAGAAAATTTCTGTTCTACTTAAATTTGTAATAGATTTATAGAATGTAGACCGTTTTTTTAAAGGGTAGTCAAATGGAAGGGTATACAAAAAGCAACAGTATAATATGATAAATTTTAAAATTATTTAAAGTTATTTTAAAGTTATTCTTTACAAAAGATTTTTCTTAATAAAAATTATTATTACTAAAAAATATTTGAAAGTACAATTATTATTGAATTTTACTGTATTCAAACATGAAAATATATTTTTAAATAATGCCCATTTTAGCTTTTCCTTATATGCTTCGTTGTTATCGCAGTTCATCCTCCTATATTTCATCATTTTCCTTCGTATGCATTTCCCTATGTGAATTTATCGTGAAGCATAGTGAATATGTATGTACATTCTATTAAGGTACACCTTATATCATTCAGATAATCAGCTGTGCCTTCGATACCTGTCCTTCTCTTGTTACCGCAACGGCAGTCGGCGCTTCTTATCGCTCTGAATAAACAGGATTCGTCTACTTTCTATGCTTGGCACGGCTAAAGAGGTCAGGTCAGGCCTCAAAGTCTTGCATCGGAGAATCCGCGCGCTACCATCGCGTTGAGTCTAAAAATAAACGCGGATTGTGCCGCGAGGAGTGATAGATAATCGCACTAATGCAGCATTCTCTAACAGTTATCTAACGCTCACGGTTGACGAGAATTTGATCGGGTTTTCCAATTTCCAAAAACGCATCATTAAGTATCGGTTATTTTCCACGTTATCTCTTACGTAATTAGATGAGAGAGATAAGCACGAACTTTACGACGCAAGGGCATTAATGAAACGATATGATAATGTTGTTTAATTGCGAACGTCTAAAAACGTATTTTTTCTCTTTTTTCATGCTAAGGATTTTTTCAATTCTCCATAAAATTTGATAGTAGCTTCAAGTTTTCAAAATAATTCTCAACCTCATAGAAAATGTCACTGAAACAATAAAGACGACTTAATAACCGAATATACTCGATCCAGTTTCTGTTGAAGTAAATCCACTTGAGATTAATTTAGACTTAATATCTTATTATCCGCGCGAAGATTTTAATGTTTGATAGTAAAAAGAAATATATAATTAATACACCAATGAAATCTTCACGGAAGGAACATCGAAGGAATTTTTTCTGTTAAAACTCATACATTACACTCATAAATTTTTAAAAGATGCTCAGTGATTGATCGTTTCTTATTTCGCGCTTATTATTTATATTTAATAATGATTGATTTCCTCAATTTCCTCAATTTTATAATAATCCATCTTAAGTAGATGAATTATCGAGTCTCGTTTATGCATGACGAGAATTGAATAGTGAATGGAACGCGCACGTGCGATCATTATGCAGCCTCAATCGCACTCGACTTTGGAACACGTTAACAGTCGAAGGCCTCGCGTTCAGGAAGAAGCGAGCGTGTGCTTCGCGAATACTAAAATCGATTTCGATAGCTATTGACATCGGATTTTCTATAGCCGTTAGTTCTCAACCAATGGCGTGTTTCTACCTTCGGGGCAGATATTGAGCGTCGCAATTTCCTTCGGGATCACATTAGAATCACCGACGAACGACGCTTCTGTTTCGCTTTTATTCATGCACGATATCAATCCGACAATATATATCATATTCAACGATAAACAAATATTCGCTAACATATATTCCAACATATATTCGACTTTTGTGTGTCGTCTACAATGTGTCTCTTGTATATTCATTGAATCAGTACAAGTGTTACTTTGCTGGGATATCTTTATTACATATATATCTGAAGCGTGCTAAGATCATTCGCCTTTAAAGAGAACAATTTCATACGAAAAGTATTGCGTTCTGGATACTTCATTTTTAAATCGTAATAAATCAAACATTTTTAACAATACACAGACATCGATAAATATCATGGATATGTACTCGATGTCGGTCAAATTCGATGAAGTAATATTGCTGAAAACGAATTATCAACGGAATTTTCGATATTTTGAAGTCAGCAATTTTAATATAATATAACCCAATTTGTCTAAAGCTTCAATTATATATTAGTTAATTCGAAAAAATATACGTGAGTAAAAATATATGTGAAAAATATATAAAAATATTTTTTAAAAAGAATCCGTCTATGTTTTTCTTAGAGAGGTATTTGATAGTTAAAGAAACAATATTTCTGATTAATCGTTTATTTTGCCGTGCACGGAGTTTAGTTACGTAACGTATAATTAACGAGGTCAATTATAATTGGTCGCTCGGTGTAATAAAGGCGCGACCTGCCACCGCCTTTCATATTCCTTTATATTCTCACACACCATCGCTACCGTAATTCAATTTTTCGCTCTTTTTTTTTTTTTCACAGATCCGCACATAAAGGTCGCAGGACGACTAGATGACGTACGATCAGCAAAGGAGAAGATAATGGAAATTTTGGACACACGGGGTAAGTCATATATATATATATATATATATATATATATAACATTAATTACGGATCACGAATAGCGCGTAAATAGCGCAAAGATATTTATAGAGCTCAGTCAGACACATAGTGCGGATATTCAATATCTTTTCGAGTTGATGCCAGGATGTCGACCTCCTGAATTTTGCAATCGCAGTCGCATCTTATCCGATTACGTTTTCATTTACGAAATCGTGCCGAATATTTAAATTGATTGACAATAGAATGCCATAGATAAAATTGCTATTGGCGCTTCTTTTTTTTTTCTGCCAATTTAATTTGATCATTACTATGAAACATTCGAACGTTTAATGGACATTAATTATCTTCTTTGTCCTATATTCATATAAAAATATTCATGTATAAATTACACACACAAATTTTGTTCAACAAAATTTAGTCAAGAACTGCAAATTTTCAGCAGATTTGTTAGTATTATTTCATTTTTTATCAGAAAGAGTTTGCTCAGCGTTTAACTCTCCGAGTGTTCTTTGCGTTTATAATTATCGTAAATTTATCATTGCAAAGTGAATGTTTCGACTCGTTTTGCTGTGATCGACACGTGATATAGGCCTGAGAGGTTCATGCGCATGCGAAGTCGACGATCCCAAAATTGGAAATACAAAGTGCGGTGCAAACGAATGTAAATTGCCGGAGAAGAGATTACACTCATATGGAATATAATGCGAGCGTAAATAGACCGAACAAATAAATATGTAGATGTTATCGGAATACGCACTTTCTCTCGGTGGCAGATTACACGAAATTAATCTCTTGTATATGAAGATTTCTATTCTATCGAAGATATCTGTTAATGCCTCGATAGAAAACTTTCCGATTTTCTATTTTTACCGATAGCAACAATATCGACTCGCCAGTTTCAATTACCTCTTCTTTTTATCAAACAATCTTTGCTCATCAAAACGATAGTTTTAATAGAATCGCCATTGTTAATGTCATTTTAATTTTCCAATCGATTAGAACTCGAATTACATTTCCTTTAGTTAACTCTTATTTTTCATAATAATATTCATTTAATTAAAAAGTTTATTTATAGCTTGAGAGTAACTTTCATAAGTAGAATAAATATCTAATTTCTCAAAATAGCCAAGGATATTTAAATATTCGAAATAACGAATGAGGACATTAACAACGATAAAGATATATTATGCCGATTCGAGAAAGGGTTAATCTTGTAACGCGCTTTTCAGCAAAATAACAGAGTGACCATGAAGCTGGACGTTAGTTACACCGACCATTCGCACATCATTGGCAAAGGCGGCCTGACGATTAAACGAGTGATGGAAGAAACTGGTTGTCACATCCACTTCCCAGACAGCAACCGCAGCAATCATCAAGACAAGAGCAATCAGGTCTCTATTGCTGGCGAGATGGAGAGCGTCGAACGCGCCCGCGCTCGTGTTAGGGTGAGATTCCTCGCAAGACATGTGTCCAGGATGTCCCAGAATGTACAATTGTACAATTTTGACAATTTTTCGGTAATTCACTCTTCACGTGAATACCGAATGAACTAGCGATTGAGCTATTGTAAAAAGAGAGTATTATTCTTCGGACATCCATGGTATTTATTATTCGGCACGATTGAAAGTTGCATGCTACAGAAGCAAAATTACGTCGTTACATTTCGAGAGGAGATTAAAATTTATTTCTCAATTAATTTAACGTCACGTTAATTGAGAATTTTTATTTCAGGCTTGGGTACCAAGAAATTAATGTTGTGTTAAATATTATGTGTTATGCGATAGAGTAAAAAAATGTCTGGTCGAGGGTAAAAAAGTAGTGGGCGATTTTTGGGAGATCCTATATGAAGGTGGGTTAGGAACGAACAATAAACGAACAGCGAATGCTAGAAAAAAAAAAGTACTCTGTTTAAACGGCATGATAAATATCTCTTTTGAATATTCATTGCAAAGAAAATTTGCATTCGCTGTTCGTTCATTGTTGGTTCGCTCATGCATACCCACCTCAAGAACGAAACGTTCGAGAAGCATCAACTCATGTATCCGTCTCTTTTAGAATCTGACGCCTCTGATCTTTTCCTTCGAGCTACCTATAATGGGCGCTTCGCAGAGCATGCCAGACTGCACCTCGCCGTACGTGGTGAAGATACAGGAGAAGTACAACGTACAGGTGATGTTTCGCACGAGACCTAAGCTGCACGCCACCCTAGTGGTCGTCAAGGGATGCGAGTGGGAGGTTTCTCAAGTCAAAGAGGCGACATATCTGCTGATCCGTTATATGTGCAAAAATCTAGCTGTGAGTGCTAATAATAATCGATAAAACTCAAATTTTCCAAGAAAATTTGAGAAAAATTAATTTTAAATTTAGAAAACTTAAATCTGGAATTTCCTCAACGTTGGAAAGTGATGAAAGTAATCTTGTTCGACCATTGCGTCCTGCAGTAAACTTTTTTTTCTAAATATTTTTTTATT